GTCGCCACCAAGACACCAGGGCTTAGAGGAAGCAGATTTCAACCTTTCCAGAGTGTCCCAGAGCTTCCTTCTCCTATCCACTACATTAGGAGCATATACATTAACTAAGACACATTCAAAGGAATTAAGAATAGTACCTGAAAGTAGTATAAAGCTCCTATTACAGCAGCAATCTGAAAGTTGAAAAGTCCCTGGGTCCCAAATGCATAGCAAACCTCCTGAATTCCCATCTGAATCTATATACGTGTAATCCATTCTGGCTTTTGGCCATAGGGCTTTAACATCTATCTCAGTACAGCTTGATAACTTGGTCTCTTGGAGGAGGACAATATCAATTTTTCTATCTATAATCATGCTTCTAATCTTACCTTTTTTCTCCCTTCTACCCAATCCTCTGCAATTCCATGATAGAATCTTCATTAGAAGAAAAATCTAACGCTGAAACCTCTGTAGACAGAGCCCAACTCACGACTGCTGGCACTCTCTCATCCGCCCCATGTCCTTCAGTTCCATTTCTGAAATCTTCCTTAAGGCCTCCGCTTCTTTCCCTTCATAATTAATCCCTAACAGCCTCCCCATTTGAAGAGTAGCACAAGCTTCTTCCCGGATTGATCTCTCTTCCCCTGCGCTGCTGCCAGACGAAGTGGAGGGCACAGAAGTTGCCACTGCCGGCCTGAAAATGCCTCCCTTGGACCCTTTCTTACTAGCTGATGCTGTTATTTGGTTCATACTTCTAACAAACCCAGAAAAACCACTGATTTGCTTTTGATTGTGATGCCCCAAATTCTTTTTCTCGCCCCTCCTTCCATTGCCCTTCGAGCTTTCCTTCTCTTTTAGCATAGCCTTCCTCAGTTTAGACTGACTGGGTTCGGTGCATAACACAATAGGCCTACTCTTAATGGATTCCTCATTGGGCTTATCTGCCCCGGTCTTATTTGGTGGACATAGCTCAGGGTTTGGCCTAACCACAGCCTCTGGAGGCCCACAATTTATTGTTCGAGTTTGGCCCAAAAAGACCTCTAAGTTGATACCAGGCCTAGCAACACCCGAACCACTACAACTTTTTAGAAAACCTGGTGAATACACCTGACCCTCCTCCTTTTGATAATTCTCATTTGCCTTTCCGAAGTCTTGCAGTGTGGCGTGTGAATATACCTGACCCTCCTCCTATTGATAAGCCTCGATTACACCCTTGTCAGGGCTTCCCAGCACCATCCTTGCCTCTTCCTCACAAGCACCGGTTACCTTTTCGAGATCGTGCAGTGAGTCATCAACTGCCGAAGCATGCAGTAGCCCATTCACTTCGTCCAGCTCAACCTCTTTCCTTATCTGATATGTGTCGCTAACATGGTCCAGCTCATTTCTTCTTGCCACTTTAGCAACTGACTCAGCTGCCCCGTCATACCTCTGCACCTTCTCCTCACCGAGTTTGCCTTGAGGCCCCTGGGCGGTATTGTTGAAGAAACCAGACCCTGCATCATGATGAATCTTGCATTTGCACATCTCTCTCACTACTTCAGACACCACCCTTTGCTCCTCGCACACTCTTATTGAATGGAGCTTCCCTTTACACTTTAGAGTGATGACTTTATTAATAAGTTCCATACTTTTTGTTGCAACTCTGACCTTTGCACTTCTGAATGAGGTCGGGTTGCTAACATCACCTTCAAAGTTAAGGACTTCACCCCACAAGCTACCAATCTTCTTCAACGTACTGCTATTCCAGAGGTTAAGGGGAATGCCATAACAGCTTAGCCACACCCCCCTCTCCTGGTCCAAATTTAGACCAGCAATCCATTCAGTAATAAACTCACTCCATTCATGGATCCAAGGGTAACACAGTGGCATCTTAGACGTCTTCTGATCCTTAGAATCGAACGTTACAACTACATCTCTGCCACCCACCTCTCTTACCAAAACCTCACCCACTCCTTGTATTTTTAACTCCTCTTTCAACTCTTGAGCACATCGATTCGTTTTGAGGCGTATAATAATACTCTCGTACAACCATCCAATGCAATTATGACAAACTTATGGAGCTAATTGTAATTTTTTTTTTTTTTTAAAAAAAATCTCAAGAGAGGTTAGTCTAAAATCATAAGGAAATTTATTGTACATATTTGAACAATAAAGGAATAAAGTTCAAATATGATAAAAATATCAAACTATAATTATAGAATCAAATTAATTTTTTCACGAACCATTCCCACATTGTTTACTTGAGAAATGACTCGAATTACTATAATAGAATTTAGGATATTGTTATAAGTTTAAAATTAAATTTATTTTTCAAATTCAATAATGTGATAATTAATTAAAATAACTAAAATAATACTCTTCCTCCTAAAAATATAAATAAATAAAAAGTTAACTTATGCGCTATTTTTCTAAAATTTATGATGATCCACGGAACCTTGGAGATTGTAGGTGCCAATAAGGCACGTTACTTTACACCAATTTTTAATTACCGCCCCATATTATCTGCTCAAACATCGAGTGGATTGACCATCGAGGTGGTGACCTAATGCAGAAAGTATCATTTTTATTACAGGTGTGACTCAGGTTTGAATCTTAAAACGGGTAAAAAATACATGATTTTTTTTGCAATCGGCTCTTTTTGAAGATCTCACCTTGTATTACAATAGAAATTTAGGTTCGTCTGTGGCGTATGATTGATCTCTGTTGGTGTCTCGGTGGTGAGTCCCTTTTAATAGGTTGGGTCAAATCAGGTCAATAACCGATTATTTCGGGGCTCACAAATACCGTGATAACACCTTAGAGCATCCCTTTTTTTTCTTGTTAAAAAATAAATAAATAAATAAATAAAAGATCGAGTGGACTGGGGTTCACTTTTGTACTCTACTTCTTTTGTACTTTTATCAATAATTTGAACCATTTAAATTTAAGTGCATTGTTGGTAGATTATTGGAGTGGATTAAATATTAATAATCACATATTTGAATATATTTATTTAAAAAAAATAATATCAAATAGAGATAATTGTTAAAAAGTATAATCTAAGTAGGGGATATGACATTAGATTTAAGCCAAGTTTGACATGATTTCAAAAAATTAAAAAGTCAAAATGTTACTCAAAAAATAAAAAGTTATCACTATTCACAAAAAAAATTAAAAAATTAATTTTCTACATAAAACTACAACTCAGAATCTGACATGTTCAGCTCTATTGATGTGTTTGTGTGTCAAAATTGGGTCACCCTTCTAGGTGGGTTAGATGGATGAAAGCTTGTGTTTCCTCTGCCAAGATCTCTGTCCTAGTAAATTTTTTTTTTTTGATCGGCAAAAGAAAACTTTATTGGTGAACCACATATAGATTACATATGATAGATAACAACAATAAAGAGGAGGTTGGAGATAGATTAAGCTCCAACCTCCTAGTTGGTGAGAGACCAACAAAAAAAGCAAAAAAAAAAGCAAAGAAACAGCAGCACAGCAACCACCTAATAGACATGCAGCAGCAGTTTATTTGTGAGCTCCACAACACTAAATCACACCCTTCCATCACAAAGCATCCATGAGGAATTGGAGACAGCATCACAACAACACAGTAGATCAGATCAGATCACACCCTTCCATCACAGAGCATCCATTTGACAGCAGCACCCAAGCATCACAGCATCCATTCAACACCAGAGAAACCCAGCACAAACCATTAGCCTTGAACCTGCAATGCCTTCAACCAGAGAAGAAACCAGCACAGATCAGCCTTGAACCTGCATTGCCTTTGAACTACACTCCTTGAATTCCCATGAACAATACTGCAGCCCTTTAGTCATTCTAAGAACTCAGTAAAATCAGTGAACTGCTGTTTTGAACTCCAGTCAGTTGCCCAGCAAATTTATGAGACCAAAAAACACCAGACTTGAGCTAAAGCCTTCATTCTCCATTTCTGATACAATATTTCACCTTAACATATCAGAAGCCTTCCACAGTTAGCAAACTAGCAGCCCAAATCTAAGACCAAAACCAATACCCAATAATGATGCATTTTTGAACTTGACAGACCAACATAGCACTCCACTAATTAACATCCATAAACTCTGATTGCACCAGTAGCAGTCCCAAGACAAGGCACCAACCCATTCACACACAACAGAGGGCAAACCAGAAGATGCTCAGATCAACTTTCTCAGCAGAAACTAAACTGCTCCAGAAGACTACAGACTGACTACATGCTAACAAACTCCACAGGACAGCCATACAAACCCAGATTTCGAACACAAAGCAGCTCAGAACAGTTAAGAACATCCTCTGATTTGACGCCAATTGAAAATTAAATCATCAACGGAATAAGGAAGATCTTTAATAGATGCTTTCAGCCAAAGTATTGCTCTAATTTTGATATTTTCACTCAAGCCAGAGAGACTAGGTTGAGCCTCTGCAAAGACACATTCATTCCTAAGTTTCCAAAGCGACCAAAGAACAATAAGGGGGATGGCTCTCCAAATTAACCTATCAAAATTTTTGAGCTTGACATTCATCCACCATTGGAGGAGGTCATCCACTGATCCTTGAATGCACCAAGAGAACCCCCACTCATTAATTATAGATGACCAAATCAACCAAGAAAATGGGCAATGAAGCAAGATATGGACAGTAGATTCAGGTTCAGAACGACAAAATGGGCAGATGAGAGAAGCAGAAGCATCTAAGATGCCAATTCTGTGCATAAACACTGCTGTCTTGATTTTGTTTTTCCAGGCCAGCCAAGTAAAGAATGAAACCTTAGGGGGGACAGCCCCATTCCAAATATGCGAGAGAGAGAGAGAGAGAGAGAGTATATATATATATATATATTAAAATAAAAAGAAAGTGGAAGAAAGAGAGAAGAGGGTCAAGTCCCTCCTGTGTCTTTATTTATTTTTGTATATCCATCTTTGCAGATCACCAGAGAGGGTTTGGGTTAGTGAGTGGTGGTAGTGGATGGTAGTGGAGGTGGTGGGTGGTAGTGGAGATGGTAAGTGTGTTAGGTTTAGTGGGGTGGATGTAGTGGGTTAGGTTAGTGGGTTAGGTTAGTGTACATTAACAGACAAAAAGGCTAGAAAAGCAATTAAGACCAAAATAAAAAAAAAAAACACACACACAATTAAGTGATCGACGCCGGCGGCGTCTCCCATATGTCAAACACATTCTCCTCACTATGAAGAACAAAAAGCCTATCACCACCAATCGAAAAATCACAAATTGAACCACCATAACTTTGGCGAAGCCTCGATGTTAACACCCAATCTGGACCACAAAACACTGAAATACTATCATTCATAGACGAAAAAAGCTGCTCATCGTGCAATGCGAGTTTTGGGTAACATGGTTCCTCAGGCATCTTCCCTTTCATCAACCGGCTCCTTGAGCACCACCTCACACTCCCACCACTACTCCTCAAGTCCATGAACCCCAAATCCTCATACTCATTCACCACGCATATCGATCCGGTCTCCTCCATTGCTATGGCGTCCCGGACCCGCCTCTCGTCCGTTGCCGGAGCTCCGACGTCAGACCAAGACCAAACCATACTTTTATCCCTAAAATCCAACAGACTTATGTAACAATTGTCCTTCCTAGGAAACAGAGTTGCAACTAACAAACAGTTAGTGCCATGTAAAAATTGCAGCCTATCAGCCTCACCCAGTGACCACCCAATTGGCTCATAGTAAAAATCAATCTGTTTTCCAGTGATTTGGTCCCAAACACCAATCCCATACTCATTGCTCCTATTTGATACCATGTTAAATTTAATGGATATAGAGAAAGAGGGAAATAGAACTCTGTTTATTCAATCTCACTTACAATAGATACACACACTCCTTCATATATAGGAGATGGGAAGATGCTAATGCTATACAGACACCATCATAGGGAAGGGACAGAAAGGAAAAGCAGCCGAAAGCACAATGCCACTACTGCCACTAACTATACATTAATCTAATCTATGTATATAGATTATATATATTATCTATGTAGATATATTATATATATTAACAGTATGGAATCATGAATTTCGAATTCTTTGCGATGTAGTCAAAGTTTTGTCTAAATCATTCTGACGATTCATATTGTTTGTTTACCCAGCATCCATATGAATCCAATACTTAGAAATCCTAAAGTTTTTTTAATGTGAACTTATAGCATGAAATAATGATTGTAATTGGTTTGGGTATTCAAACATAAAAATGTATTGTATGAGGTTATTTTCTAAACTTCAAAATGAGCTTGATAAACATGGGATGGAAAGTTCATTGTGCAAAGTTTAACCCTTGATTTTTTTATTATTATTTACTTTACATCTTTTTTCGACCAAATTTTAACTATTATTCAGTTTGTAATGTGCACTAGTGAAAAATATGTTTTAAATTAAAATTTTACCAATATCACTATATTATTATTGCCACCCTTGCGACCACCACTATTATTAATAAAATTATTAGTACATTAATTTCAAATACTCAGCTAAGCATAAGAAAATATTTTCTTCAAAAAATAATTTTTTATAAATATTTTCTACTAAAACAACAAAACGTAAGAGGAATGAGAAACTCTTATTCTCAGTTTGGAGTGATAAATAAATGCACTTTTTAATTTTTTATGAAAAAATGTACAGAAAAATAAAGAGATGATATGACTTAAAAAAAAAATAAAAAGATAAAAAGTGTGCTTATATAGCACACTCCAAACAAACATGGCAATAGAAATTCATCCTAATAGTTATTCGACTATTATTGTTTTAATTATTTTTATTATTGTTTCCATATTACTTTCCAAATTATAAACTATTGAAATTTCTTTTTAAAAGTTTTAAAAATATATATATTTTTTATTTCTTGGTAAAATTTCACTTTAGACTCTTGGTGTTTGACCCATGTGCATAACTATCTTATTATTTGGAAATAAGTACGGAATTTTTAGTGATTTGTGGACCAAAGTGTTGTTGGAAAAAAATGGTTTCAACGATGATTTTTCGAAAACTTTATGCTAATAATTTTTTAGGACCCATGAGTCAGGTTGAAGGGTCCGAGTAACAATGTGCTCGTTGCCGTGTGGTGAACAAGATTATGAAATTAGTGAGTCAAAACCATTTATAGGTGAATGAGAAATTGACTCTAAAGTGAGGTTCATGAACATTAAGTCATTCCTCAAAATGGTGTTGATTGTTCTTGTCCCACATAGGAAAGTTAGGAAAATTTGATGAAGATATAAGGTCCCAAATGGAACCTTGGGCATGGGCTCAAAGAACACCCAAAGTGTAAGTTGGGTTGGGTTGGCCCATTACTAACTTCTTGGGCCGAAATTATTTAGAAATATTTTCAATTGGTTGCTATTTCATATTCAAATTTCAACGGGCATGTCTCTTCTGAAAAGGTTTTCCATGGCCTATATTAAGGCAATTCAGACTTCTAGTTTCCTCCTTCTTTGTTCATCTTGCATTATATTTTTTATTTTTTAGAGTTCAAGTTTGAGAGAGTATAAAGCACATATTCTGATTCGCTGTACACATAGAGTTGGTGCAAATTCTGTGTGTGGTGATTGTTGAATCCTGGAGACAAGACGCCTATTAATCTCGAGCACCAGTGGAGAGGGCGTTATTATGTCTTAAAGACACAGTGTCCATACACTGGCCTCAATCACAATTTCACACCATTGTTTAATCTGCTATAAAGTTGTAAGTATTCTTTTTTTTTTTATTTATTTATTTGTATGTAATTAATTTACCATAATTATTCTCCAACAATTTTAAGACAGAATAATCGCTTCAGATTTTTGTATCGGTTAAATTAATTATCTCTACTGTGTTTCGGTATTGTTCAAATAAAGTATATACAGGTACTGTTTATATTTTTTTTATTTCCTGCTTTTGTGTTTTGGTTGAATACAGAATTTATTCTGTGTTTGCTGTTTATATACATATATATATGTACAGATTCTGAATAAATTGTGTTATAGACTGTTTTCTATTTTGATTTTAATACAGAATCATATTCTGTAGTTTTCCTGGTTTTTACACAGCAGTTTTTTTTCCCCCCCTGTTAACGTATTGGATTATGTTTGTTTGACTGATATGTTCAAACACAAATAGGAAATTTTTTTTTGTGGTGATCTACATAACTACGTTTGTAGTATACATATTTTATTTGAATTTTGGTTTGGTTTGTTTTAGTGCACTTCCCCAGACAACTACCTTATTGGTTATTGGTTTGGTGGATTTGTTTTTTGAAAAAAAAATTGTGTTGGTGTACATCGTTGTGGAGTGCACAAGACTGTTACGTTATTTTTATTTATTTATTTCTAGTTTGGTGTATTGTGTTTCTATTTAACTGTTGATAAAGGAAAAACAAATAATAATAGTAATAATAATAACAACAATAATAATAATATAATTAGTGTTATTTCTTGTAGTTTATGTTGTAATTTGTTTTACTAGTGTTTGTTGTTTATATTGTTTATTGGTTTTCCTGAACTTAGTGATTTAATTTCTAATTTGGGTTAGTTATTGAGAAATCATATTTTATTTATTGTGAAAAGATTTGTTTTTGTTAGTTTATTTTGATCAGAAAATTTAAATGGCAACTGAGACTGTAAATAGTGCTGGAAAAACAAACCCAACATCTACATCTGTCATGGTTTCAACACCAGTGGTTACTCCTATGGTTACTTTACTTCCCACCACTATCCCGATTAACCACAATGAAAAGCCGAAAAAATTTAATGAGACAGAGTTTAAGAGATGGCAGCAGAAAATACTGTTTTATCTTACAACTCCGAATTTGGCAAGATTTGTCAAAGAGAATGCACCCGCCTTGAACGAGGACGAAACTGATCGGCAAGCAATTGCTGCAGTTGAGACGTGGAAGCATTCTGATTTTTTGTGCCGAAACTATATTTTGAATGGATTGGACAACACGTTGTATAACGTGTATAGTCCATTACAAACGACTAGAGAATTGTGGGAATCCTTGGACAAGAAGTACAAAACGGAAGATGCGGGAATCAAGAAATATGTGGTTGGCCGTTTTCTTGAGTATATGATGGTGGACTCAAAAACCGCAATTAGTCAAGTGCAAGAGCTTCAGTTGGTTTTGCATGAAATTCATGCAGAAGGAATGAGTTTGAGTGAGTCTTTCCAAGTAGCAGCAATCATTGAGAAACTACCACCGTCTTGGAAAGAGTTCAAGAACTATCTGAAGCACAAACGTAAGGAAATGAAGTTAGAGGACTTGATTGTTCGGTTACGGATTGAGGAAGATAACCGCAAGGCAAAAAGGAAAAAAAATCCGGGATTTGTTTTCAAAGCCAAGGCTAACATATTGGAGCACAGACAAAAAAAGAAAAAGAGACAGCGTCCTAAGCAAAACTCTAAACAAACTGCTGGTCAGAGTTTTAAGATTGGATCTATAAAGTTCAAGGGAAAGTGCTTTGTGTGCAACAAGATAGGACATCAGGCTAAAGATTGTCGGAATCGCAAAGATAAACAAGGTCCTTCTAAAAAGATGAAGTATGAACAAGCACACATAACTGAATTGGAGACTTTGTCTAATGGAATGACTGAGATGAACCTGTCAGCAATTGTGTCTGAGGTAAATTTGATGGGGTCAAACTCCAAGGAATGGTGGGTAGACACCGGGGCAACACGACATGTGTGTGCAGATAAGAAAATGTTTACTACCTATCAACAAGTTAAGGATGAAGAGCAGCTTTTCATGGGAAACTCCTCTATTGCAAAAGTTGAAGGACAAGGGAAGATTATGCTCAAAATGACTTCGGGCAAGGAGTTGACGCTTAACAATGTTTTGCATGTTCCAAAAATTCGGAAAAACTTGGTGTTTGGATCATTGTTAAGCAAGAATGGTTTTAAATTGGTTTTTGTTTCTGATAAATTTGTTCTGTGTAAGGATGGTGTTTATGTAGGGAAGGGATACCTGTGTGACGGGTTATTCAAAATGAATGTCCTGACTGTAATTCCTACTATTAATAAGAACTCTACATCTTCTGCTTATTTGTTTGAGTCTTTTCATGTATGGCATGGTAGATTAGGACATGTTAACTATGATTTATTGCGGAGATTAATTCACTTGGACTATCTACCTAATTTTTCTATTGACTCAAATCATAAATGTGAAGTATGTGATGAGGCTAAATTGACTAAGACACCATTTAATTCAGTTGAAAGAAGTACTGAGCCTCTGAACTTAATTCATAGTGATATTTGTGATTTGAAATTTGTTCAAACACGAGGAGGCAAGAAGTACTTCATCACTTTTATTGATGCACTACAAGAAATTGCACTTTTGGCGACTACTTTTGGCGACGACATCAGTTTTTCATAGGTAAAAGTATATTTTTGGTAACACACTGATGAATTTCGTTGGTAAAAGTAATCCTTTAGTGACGCAATTTACTATCGTTGCTAAAAAGCCATAACATTCACTAAGCGACAGTAGTGCTTATCGATTTTTAGTATACAAAAGTGATAATCCAGATGTGCATGTCAGTATTATAATCGAGTCAAGAAATGCATTTTTCTTTGAACATATATTTCCTTGCAAATCAATACAAGAGTCAAATTCTGTTAAATGTTCTTATGAAAGTGCATTTGATCACAGTCAAGGACAGATTGAGGAAAATCAAGAAGGAATGAATGAAGAAGAACCTGGACATAGTAAGAGAGCTAAGACCACTTATCTACTAGAAAATGAGCCTCAAACATTTAAGGAAGCCATGTCTACGCCAGAA